CGGGCTGCCGCCACCCCCCCCTTCTCCGGCGCAGGCCGGGGAGACCCGTGACACCGAGCACCGTTACCTGCCAGCCTCCCGCGGGGCCCTGCCCCCCGCACACCGGCCCCCGCCTCCCTCTCATCCGCCCCGCCTCAGCCCACCACGGCGACCCTAGCCGCTTCCGCCTCGCCGCTTCCGAGGCGCTGCCGGAAGGGGCGGGGACAGTCGTTTTGGCGACAAGGTGGGTTAGGTCGGGGACGGGAAGCTACTCGCGACGTCGCCATGGAGACGGGAGGGCGGGCTCCTAAGCTAATTTTAAAATGGCATTAAAAGTCCACTGTAAGTTGAAAAAATGACTGCTTGTTTTGTGTGGTCTGTCTGTCTGATTTTTTTGTGTTTGTTTGTTTTCCTGGAATGTTCAGTTTTCTGTAAAATCAGATAAAATAGATAAAGCAGAACTGCACAGTAGATTTGGTGTCTATATGTTCACGGACATATTGGAAAATTCTTTGAATTACATAGTAAACAACAAAGAGATTTGAGGCAACTTGAGAAGAAATTTACTGTGACCTGTCCCTCCGGAGAGGATAGATAATGCCTGTATTGTATTTGGCAGATACTTCTCCAACAGTGATCAGATCTCTCTGAAACCAAAATTAAATAATATGTCGTTACAGATTTAAAAATATCAGGATTACTTGAATACGTATCTTAGTGATAAAGGATTGAAACACCAGCATGTTAGGAAAACAGCTTAAAGTAGGATATGTATTCCTAAAAGAAAAAGATTTTTAAATTTGTCATCCCTCAGCATGGACAGGAGAGTCAAAGGATGCGGCTAAAATAAACTGTTGCCAGGTTCACATGGGATGCCTGCAGTGCTGTGTTGAGTTGCTTCTATGGACATTCTGGCAGGAGGGTTCCTGGTTGGGATGCATTCCCAGTGTCTGTACTCTGAGATGGACACTTAATTTCAGCATGTGAAAAGCTACTTTAGTGGTTTTTCAGGAGCCCATGTTGTTCCTGAACACTAGAGAAGAGATGACCAGGATCTCATCTGGTCCAGGAGCAGTGGGTAGTTCTTCCTGGATTTGTCCAGGCACTTAATAGGTGCCTCATAGAGCAGTTCTGCAGCTGCATTTGATCCAACTTTGAAGCCAGCCCACCTCTGAGAGGGCAGTTGAGCTACCTTTCAACCTAAATTTTTCTGTGGTTCTGTGCTGTATGTCATCTGCTTCACATTACCCTGTAACTGTAAAAGTTATCAGAACTTTCATAACTGACATTATGAAAGCCATTTTTGGTCACTTTTTTCTGTGAACTGGAAACCCTAGGGCTGTGCGAGTACTAAATTGTTAGCTAGGCTTTGTTTCAAAAGGATTACTTACATTTTTTAATTTCTGCCTAAGTCTGTAACTTTCTGTGTTTTAATATGGTTAGTCAGAGTTGAACATGGCAGAATGTAGACATAAATTAAGTCCCATTTCATCTCAAATTAATCTGAAGCAATGTCATGGAGAATTGGCTCACCACCAGAGTGGCAATGTGCAGAAAGTTCCCGTTTTTGAACTCTCTTATCTTTCACTTGAGAAAATCAGGCAGCCTCTTTCTGCCCAGCAACATTATCATTCCCTTTGATGGACCCACAGACTTCTTGTCCCAACACATTCTTGTTGCCACAGTCTGGCTTGGTGACAGCAATGCCAGCCCTTAGTTGACTGCGCATTCGGTCACTGCTCAATGCCCATCTGAGCATGCCTTTGGTTGGCTTGAGTGGTGCTGCCTTTAAGAGCAGCTCTGCACCACTGTGCCGAATGCCACAAAGTCCCATAGGGATTCACGGTGAAGTTCTGTCTACCCAAGTAGCTGTGGGAAAGCTAAGACCATAAGACCTCCTATCCAAAGGCTTAGTTACTATAGCCAATAATGCATTTTCCTTTTCAATCCCATAAAAAGATAATCATTATGCAAAAAAGATTCTTGCTTTATTCTCAACTACTCACTGTCTGGCTGTAGAAAGTGAAAGATTGCCACTTGAGCTGTATTATTGGCTTGTACCACCATGACTTGAGTTTTGGGTGCCTTTTTTCCCCATTTCATTTCAGGCTGGAATAAGGAGATCGAGCCTCTCAAGAGTGGTGTAATGCATGGTCAGGATCTGTTTAAAGACTCCCCAAAGTACCTTGTATCCAAGGCAGAAATGTCTTTTCAGTCCTAGGCAGCAACCTATGCTATGCTTGGCCTTCTAGAGGGCCTGCAACCTTCCTCCAGAGCTGCCTCCAAGTTACATTATATCTGGGCTGGAGAATCTGGCCACAATCCACCCATTTGTGTGGGGGTTCCACCTTCCCTACCATAGCACTGCAGTGAGTAAGAAATGGCATAGATGTCTTAGATGCAAACAGATAGTTTGAATATTCTTTAAATGTTTTGTTTCTTTATGCCCTCTTTGTCCCCTTACCAGAAACAATATCTATTCCTTATTCTACACAGATGGACTAAATCATGAAGATATGGCCAGCTTTTACACAGTGATTTTAATGGTAAAGAATATTGTAATTACAGTGTTTTGAACACTTGCTATTATCTGTTCTAAGTCTATTACGGTCATTTCACCTTCTTCTGCTTGACTTGACATATATTAGTCATATGTAATTGTACTGAAAATTAGTCTTTTCACTTCAGATAGTTTGTCATTGGAGCTGACTAGCTAAAAATCACATATAAGAAAATAATACATCTGAGATCATTAAAGCTAGAGTTATAAATAATTTGTGTAAATAAAGATATTAATTTATTCATAATTCTATTAAAATATGTAGCAAGAATCCCTTGTGATATTCTATCCATGTTCTTATCCTTCTAGAAAGATTGTTGGATTTGTGATTATGGGTTTGGGATAAGGAAGATTGGTGATGGAGATAATAATTCTGCAATACATTTCTGACTTTTGTTATACTTGCTCAGAATAGGATGCTTTAAATTGAGAGATTTTTTTTGTTCTGATTTCGGGGGTTAACTCTGAAACACTAGACATGCTTTCCTGGACATTTAGCCATTCTTTGTGCTAGGTGGTGCTAGATGCTGTCTGAGAAATTATGCCACGAGTCATCTTGCAGTTTATTGACTAAATTTCATTGAAAGTTCTTGCTACCAAACAAGGAGTGTTCTTCAAAGTGCTCTTCAGAACAAGGAATGCTGACAATAAATAATTAAAGCTATTTCCACCCATTCCTTCTGTGTTTCAATTGAGGTCTCATTTTTTCACACCTGTTTTTGTATTCCTTTTTTCAGGAACCTGTTAACTGAGAACAGTCCCAAGTATTTCAGGCTGAGTTACTTTAAAGGCAGGGACACTGTGGGCCCAGGCTTGCCTCTGGCTTTGCTTTGCTGTGTTTGCACTATGAAGAGAAGGCCTTGAGGAAAAGGAATTCTGCTTTTCCTTTTCTGCAAGGCATTTTAGTGTTGACTTTTCTGTACTATCACATCTGCAAGATCCCACCATTTTCTGTACTACTGGCCTATCTGTACTAGCAAGACATAAGTTCAAATTAGTGAGATAAATGAAGGGCAATGGATTAATTTAAAGTGCAGGCTTTCTAGACTTTTCATGTTTGGCACCTTCAG